GGCATGCTGTCTGATAATAAGACTATTGACATTCCTGGTCCATGGTCACAAGGGATTCACCAGAGGCTTAATCCATGTAGAGACTCTGAAAATGTATTTTGGCCTTTCACTGTCATCCATAGTAAAGCAGGTGCTCAGAATTTAAACTCTAATATAGTTCTCTCCTCTGGTGTTGGATTTTATTATTTACAATCATTGGATCACACAGATGGGTGTGCTTCTTCCATGCATACTTAGCTGACACACTTCACTTAGATGGCTGCTTGTTTTAAGACAAGTCTTGAAGACCCCAGATGTTATTCTTTCTGATAGCCAGCCACTATCTGATTTATTCACCACACTTTGCTTCAGCACTTATATCTTCAGGGATCTCTTCATGAGGGCAAGTATCCAATAGGATCACATCATAAGAACTAATTGTCCTTATATTCGGTCTATGAATAAGTGTGCGCTCAAAATCCATTCATATCCCTGGTTTGCTTCAGAGACATCTTGTCATTTTATTGGGGAATATAAATCATATCGTGGGGTACATGTAATTATATTGATAGAATCATTAATTTAGCTATGGTTATAGAATTTCAAATACTGTAAAGAAAAGGAAAATACATATGTATAGGATAGGCTTTTGGACTAAACTACATGGGTTGTTGACTTGTTCAGATTAAAACCTCAGTAACTGAACACTATTTAAGCAAACAATGAAGGTGGGATATAGGGGTAAACTTTCAATAACACTCATTCACAAAGGCAGAACTATGCCCACTGATTTAACACAGAGATGCACATTGTAGATACGGAAAATAATTGAATGGTAGATCTTTAACTATGATAAATATGAAATGTCAGATAATGAGATAGTGAGGGATAGGTGTAGACCCACATTACCAAGTTGTGTTCATGATACCACTTGCGTTATAACAACACCATGTTGCCACCCTTGGGGCCCTCAAGAAGAATACAACCATGAAAAGTAGTGACATGATTACTGGGGTGTTACAATACCAATGTCATTTGCCACATATGGCCCTATGTTGGTTTACTTGTATCTGATGGAGGCAAAGCTGTGTCTGTAGTCATGTAATAGCTTTGTCTCCTGACGGAGTCACACATGAAGGCACAGGCTGTTGCCAACCAATAGAGTTCGAAGGAAAGTCAGACAACATCCAGTCTGCCTCCCACCCAATGCCACACCCTTCCACAGCCTCCAAACAGCATTACGGCTGGAGAGACTACCTTTCAAAATTGGTGGTGGTGTCAATTTCTATAACGAGGCTCTTCTTCCCCAGTGAAAAATGAGGTCACCAGCCATCCAAAGGATGTGAAGCCAGCTCCAGGAGGAGCAAGGTCTAGAAGAATGAGGCACACATCTTCCTGGGGACCACCACTGGTCTGTCAGTGTGTCATACTGTGGTCACTTGTGTGCCGGTGTGATGATGGAAGCTATTTCAAATACCAGCAGGGTCACTCAGAGGGATCAGGTTTCAGCAGCGCTTCCCGACTAAGAACAGACTGGGAAGAAGGCATGTTCTCAGGGGAGATCGGTTCCTGGAAAAGGACAGCATGCGTGCTAAAGCAGGGGGACAAGGAAATGGAGGAAGACTGTCAAGATGGAAGGACGCCATGGCTGCTACAATGGGATCATGATCAGAATAACTGTGAGGATGGCACAGGACCCCATGATGTTTTGTTCTGTTGAGTGTAGAGTTACTATACATTGGAACCGACTAGACAGCACCCTAATAATAATAACATCATACCTGGGGAAGGCTGCCTTAAGAATAGCTGACCTCCAGAGGATCGCAAACAACCCAGTGATCCATTTCCTTGGAGAGTCCGTTCTGGTGCCATAGGACTTAGGATGATTATTTTTCTAATCATCACGTATGGAAAGTTCCCTTATATGTCTTTTACAGCTTTGGGTTCTAAGAATAGATCAATGAGTGAGATAAGGTGGTCCCTTTCAGGAAACTCATAGCTGAGTAGGAAAGACAGACGCATAAAGAGATGATTAGGGTCAGGGCTATAAGAATGGACACGTTATGACGAGGACCTGCAGGAGAGAACAACTAACCTTGCAAACCCAAGTTGCCTTTGGATGATAAAGAGGAAGCCTCGAGGGAGCCCCTCCCCGGGGTCTATCTGAGAGACCAGTTGGACGCGGCCATGGAAAGTCTCGAGAACGAAGTGAGGTGAGCAGCTCAGTATGAGTGGTCAGGACTGGAAAGAGCATCAAAAACTTGACCTTACTGCTGTCACGTTGATTCCGACTCACAGAGAACTGACAGGCCAGAGAAGAAGTGCCCCTGCGGGTTTCCAAGGCTGCAAATCTTTGTAGGAGGAGAAAGCCTCACCTTTCTCTTGCAGAGAAAGGTTTCAAACTTCTGACCTTGAGGTTAGCAGCCAAGGAGTAGCCTAGTAGGCCATTGACGCTCCTTGGAAGATACATAGGTAATGAAACTTCTCCAGTGAAAGAATAATGAATCTGGAGACTTGGGGTTATGGGATTAAGTAGATGGTTTGAATAAGTCTCCTTACACCATCCACTCCTGTGGGAATAACAATAATAATTTTTAGAAACTAGAAAACAAACAAATACACAGGGATCGGCAAGTTGTATCTGTACAGGACCAAATGGCAAACACCTTCGACTTTGCTGGCCATGCGCATTGCCTTTGTTGCAGCGCCTCCGCTCTGATGTTGGCACGCGAAAGCGGGCCTAGACAATACTCAATGAATGGACACAGCTATGTTCCGACAAACTTTCTCAACCAGATGAGGAGCAGCGGCTGGCCTTGGCCGGAGGGCTGTGGTTTGGGTAGCTCTATGGGATCGCCTTTGAAAACACAGTCATCGTGAACCCTCTGGTCCTTTACCTCGATGTGCTTTTTGAGCTTGTGTGTATGTCTGTGTCTATGGGAGCAGGGGTCAGGGGGTGCAGAGGGGAAGAAGCCACTGGGGTGAGGGCATAGGGTGAATCAGGAAGCAAAGTGAGGTACAGAGAGAAGAGGCCACTTCTAGCTGGTGGAGGAGAGGTGCCAACTCCTGAGGGACAAGTGCCATTCATTCTTCCTCACAGAGTGCCTCCTGGGCCGCAGCGTTCTGCTGCCCACCCTGTGGCTCTGGGCCGAATGTGCCGCGGGCAGCTGTTGCTAGGCAGGCGCTGGGCTTCAGCCCCACGGTGCCTGTGCACTAATAATTTATACTTCGGTGCTAAAGCACCTCAAACTCCTTTGAGATGAAAGACTATATAACACTGAGTTACGACCCTGATTAATAGGTGTTCTGCTGAGTGTTTCCAACAGTGGAATTCAACCCTGTTGGGTTGACCAGTAAGGACTCTGGCAATTGCAGCGGCTCTGTTTTTTTTGCAGTTGATTCTGTCTGCAATAAATTATTCTCCTCCCACAAACCCAAAGGCTGTGCATGTCTGCCGAAACCCTAAGGAGGAGGATCTCCGAGTGGTCCAGGCTGTGGACTTGGCCTGTGGTATTTATTTTCTGGGAGATGAGGAACACACACACACTCCGTATTAATTCCGTATTAATTCTCCATGACTGCCTATTCCAGAAGAGCAACTTCCCACTGTTATGGATTGAGTTAGGTCTCCCGAAAATACCTGTGGCAAACCCCAGCCCCCCTGTTGGTGGTGGTAATCCCATTTGGGAGTGGGCTGTCTTTGTTCTGTAGGGTGAGTATAAGGTATGTCTTGGGTCCATCTAGTTTGAGATATAACAGGTGAAACAGGTGAACGGAGCAGAGATGGGGAAGAGACATGTCAAGCCAGGTGAAGATGTCCCAGGAGGGCCCAGACCTTCCTCTAGAGCCCACAGAGAGAGAAAACCATCCCTTTAGCTGCCACCTTGACTATGCACCCCTCTCCTCCTACGCTGTGAGAAAAGACACTGGTTCGTGAAACCCACCTACTTACGGTATTTCTGTTAGAGCCGCGCTAGATAACTAAGACACCTACTGTGTTAGGTCGGGTCCTCAAAAGAAGCAAACTCACCAATGCTTGGATGGGTTTGTATCCAGAAAGAGATGGCTTGTTTTAGAAACAATGGCTGACCCAGTTGTAGAAAGAAGAAAGTCCAGTCTGGGTCAAGTCAGGCTACTTTTGACTTGTGGAAGCTGATGGAAAGGAGGCAGGATGATGAAGCAGAGACAGGAGGGCACAGGCTGGTGGGTGCAGAGGTCTGGAGTGAATCCACCGCCAGCCATCTGTTGACAGCTCCTGGGATGGGCACGTAACCCAACAGGAGATCTTGGATCCAGATGTGGCCTTTGATACAAAAAGGTTTATGACACCCCAGAGTCAGACGGCAACACAATTGATAGTCTGCGCTCTGTCCCTACCCTTACCCAGGAGGGTCTAATTGGCATCATCGCTGACCACAACACCTACTTAGCCTACAACTTTATATGGATCCTCACAATGCTGCGTTGGTTTTACACTAAATATTATACTTGGTTACCTACTTTGGCATTTGTTTGTTTTTAATTCACCCCTCACCCCACCCCCTTCACCCACCCATGGGTCCTTTCTCTGTAGAGAAGGGTTATTTATAGGTGTCACCTTTTTTTTGCCTAGCACAAAGGACTCTGGAAACCAGTGGGTCCCGCTCAGTGCCAGGCTGCCCTTCAGACAGTATCTGACAGGGCATTCCAACATGTCTTTTTTTAGAAAAGACCGTAAGTGTCTTATCTTACGCCTTTGGAATTTTCCACAGTTCTTTAACATCTAGTTTAGGAAAAGTTGGTTTGAGGGTTCTTCGCGTCTCCCCCTATCCGCCCCCCCTAACCCCCCACCAAGCCCTTACATCAGCCCGAAGCAGCTCCTTCTACTGGAGGTGGATTTGCGTTTTTACTCGCCAGTGTACCTCATTTCCATCTCTCCTCCCTACTGACGAGAAATCTTGCGGTTAAAATAACACAGTTTCTATTCAGAGCTCAAACTTAGAGCTGCTCTCTGAGGCAGATTTTGAATCGAAGAAACTCATGGCAGATGACTCAGAGTTGCTTGATCGTGCTCGGTTTTAGATCCTCCTGAAGAAACCGGGGACCTGGTCAGGTAAACCTTTTTCTTTCCTGTTTCATTGTTTGGCTGAACAGATGATTAAACGTGTCAGTAAGCACTGGAAGATTGCTGCTTTCTGGCTTGTTTTATGTGGAACGAGAGTCGCGCGGAGAGCGCATGGCAGGGGGGAGTCTCTGTGTGTGGAGAAGGGGCTGGGTGTGTGCGGGACGGAGACATTTCAATATAGCAGCTGCCTTTGGACGTGTGCGGCTGGAAAGATGGAGGGCCGGTGGTTGGCAGTACAGCAGCTCTGAAGATGTTCATGGGAGTCGTTCACAAAGGAGGAATCCCAGCACGATCTTGGTATTCTGGGTTCCTATCAACTAAACTAAATTGGTTCCATTTTCCTGGAAGCTGCCGCTTCAAGAAATTGGGTACTACTGTAGAGATAGAGAGATAGATACAGATTCATAGATGCTCCAGACAGATGGTATAGATGCATGGCGTGTATAGATAGTGTACTCCCCAATCGACGGAATAACATTATATAGAGACATGCAGATCCTACTTTGAGAATCTTGTGTAAGAAAGGGCAACTCGCTAGTCTCGTGTGTTTTCTCCCATGCATGCCTTTCTTCCCTGATACATCCTTGACTATTGGTCTGAAATCTACGTGTAAACTGTGTTCAAAGACTTTGAGTGCAGATACCTCACCTGCATCCCAGATCAGGCTGCTTACCCAGGGAGCCACTTCCCTGAGACGCCTCTCCACCCACTGCAGTCTTTCTTCAACCATGTCATCTCTTTTTGCAAATACTTGTGCCCATGAAGCATTTCTGGGTATCTCCCCCTGGCTGGGTCAGGCGTTCATTTGATTGTTCTGTACTCTCTCTTCCACCACTCTGCCACAGACAAAAGCATTCTTTGCTTTCGAAGGACGTTTTATTCTTTTTGTGAGGGTAGAGCCATGAAAAAATCAACCAATTCATCAATCAGCCAACCAGTCAGCCAGCCAAACAGTGCATTCTATGTATTCTGCATTGGAATCGTTTTCAGGGTTGGGGTGAGGTTGTTCCAAAGAATATAAATATTATCATCAAACTTTTGAAGCGTTTCCTTGTTCTTGACGCCTATCTGCATACATGACATAATTACCAGACATGATCAGATTGGAAACAACAACGGGCTGAATTTCGAGCTTCAGATTACAGGGGAGGGTTGATGAAATCACACTACCTCCGTTCTATGAGAGCATCCTGTGCATCAGGAATTAAGCTAAGTATTTTGCAAACACCTCATTTTATTCTCCTGGTATACGTATGGGGAAACAGAAGCTTAGATGGGGACTAAGTGAATTACCCAGAGACACACAACTAAATGGTAGACTCAAAGCTCAAAAATAAAGAAAAAGGCCAATGCTCATCTCCTGTCTAGTGACCAAAAATGTCCACCAGCGGTGTCCTTGGGCTGGGATTTGACGGAATGCCCAGCTTCCTAACAGCCATCGCTCTCGAGGCATCAGCACAGTGTGGCGAAGGCAGAGTGGGACTGGAGACAGAGTTGCAGCATTGGCTAGAGCAAGGGCCTGATGGCAGACAGGAAGCAGAGTGCTAGGTAGAGCCATGGAGAGCTTAGAGCACGAGAAGGTGCCATTTGGATTTCTGAGTGGAAGAAGACTGAGCAGAGTACAAAGCTGCTGCCATTGGGTGGATTTTGACTCAGAGCCAAGCTATGGGACAGAGCAGAAGTGCCCCATGGGGTGCCCGAGACTGAATCTTTACAGAAGCTAACTAACTGCCACATTTTTCTCCCAGGGTGTGATTGGTAGGTTTCAACCACTTACCTTTCAGGTGAGAACTTCCTCACAGTGTCCCCAAGGCTCCTGTGACAGGAGGAACCCACCCATCCGCTGCCATCTGATGGGTAGTGATGCTCTATAGGGGTTGAGGCTGGAAATCTTGACGGGAGCAGGCAGCCTCCACTTTCTCCCGTGGAGCGGCTGATGGGTACAAACTGCTGACCTTGCAGTTAGCAGTTCTCGTGAGCTGCTGGTGATAGGAAGACATTGGTGTTCAATTGCAATCTGTCCTCCCTGCAGCTGGCCTGTACATTCTGTGCCTGCCTCTGATGCTGCTTAGAAGCTTTCTCTCTAGGTCCTGAAGTTCGCAAGTTCTCACCCCTGCCTTGACCTTAGACTCTGCCAGAATATCACAGCATCACAGCGGTCTTCCTGGGATCTCCTATTGAAAGAGAAACCACACGGCCAGCCCCGTTCACTTTGTATGGAGATAAAAACACCCTGAAGCATAAAGTCTATGGCTTCTCACTAACGCTCACATGAAATTAAAACCAGTTTCCACTGAGTCGATGACGGCTCATGGTGACCCAAGGGTGTCATCGTAGGGCTGTCCTCATTGGGATTTTCAATGACTGGTGTTTTGAGAGACTAACCACCAGGCCTTTTCTCTTGAGGCCCCTCTGTGTGAACTCAACCCTCCAACCTTTGGGTTAGCAGTTGAGCCGTTAACCATCTCCAGTGCCCAGGAACTCCAACGATCACATTGGACCACATTGCAGTTTCGTGTATTGGCTCCCTGTCTCTTCCTACGATGAAGCTCCATGGGGACAAAGACTTCGTTTTTTCCTTATTGTATCTCAGTGCTCAGGGTGAGTTGGGCACACCATAGGGAATTCATACACATGCACAGAATAAGTGAATACCAACTGATGCTATCCATTCTGGTCCAGGGCCTAGCATCTCCCCTACAGCAAGTAGATAGATCCACAGTGGAGAAGGAGAGGCCCGGGCTTTGGTGTCACAACTGATCCATGCCACAATCTCTGATGACAGCCCAGCCTCCATCCCCAGCAGATAAACTGCTAAGGCAAATAGATACCACTGGTTTTCTGCCACCCACCCACCCAACCCCTGAGCTGCTGAAGGAAAGTAATTCTCTCTTCCCATGAACTCCGTGAAGACACTAGTGAGGGGGGACAGCATTCCTAGCTTCTTCCTTGTGGTGGTAGATTGCAAGTGGAGTGCAAATGTGTGAGCAACTAACTGTTGGGGACAATTCCTTGGGAACCTCTCCCTTTGGATGTACAGTACTGTCCTATGCCTGCATCTTCATCTCTAATAAGATTTTACAGTGCTCCCCATTCATGAGACTGCATGCCTATCCGTGCACAAACAGCTCTGAGAAAATGTAGAGAGAAACCCAATTAAAGAAAAATGCACGGCGCTGACTGCTCACAACGGCCACCCCTAATATGATGTCCCTCTCATCACAAAGCAGAGAAGAGTATCCTAGGTTAGCAGTGCATGTTTTATTAAAAGGCATGTTGTTTTTAGGAGCTCCTAGACTAGTTTCATCTCAAACCCTGCCTGGACCTGCACCATCCTCTCAATGGTGTTGTTTGAGCCCACAATGAGTCTTCCTCCGACCTGGACACCTAGTTCTTCTTCCTAGAGACCCGCTTCTTGGGTTGCTCTCCAGCATCCAGACGGAACTAGGATGGCAACAGGGTGACAGCTCGGGTGCACTGCTTTCTTGACTTGAACCGTGGTGTGTTCCTTTGGTCTGTTCCAACGGCTGCCTCTTGGTCTGTGTACAGGCTTTACAGAAGCACAATGAAGGGTTCTGGATATCTCCTTCTGAACCATGTCATCCACGGTGCGCTATGATCCGCACAGTCGAATGTCTTTGCCCAGTCAAGAAGACACAAGTCAACGTTTCTCTGGCATTGCTTTCAGCCCAGATGCATCTGACATTGGCATTGATATCCACCACTTCACACTCGCTTCTGAATCTGGCTTGAAATTCCAGCAGCTCCCTGCCATTGCACTGTTGGGCTGTTTTTTTCAATTACTTTTCGCAAAGTTGTGCTTGTACGTGATATTCATGACATTAGTCAACAGTTTCCATAGTCTGTTGGGTCCTGAAAGCTTTGCCTCATCCACCTCCTTAAAGTTGACAGTACATGGAGGAGGCAGCCCTCTCTTGTTAGAACGCCTTCTCACCCCAGAGGCGCATCCTCCAGTACCGCGTCAGGGTGTGTTCCTTCCATCGCCATCCCTAAGAGTTTCATTGCCTTTTTCCTTTTCCAGAGTAGCTCTCCAGGCCCTTCTTCCTAGTCTGTCTGAGTCTGGAAGCTCTACTGACACCTGTTCACCATAGGGGACTCTGCTGCTATTTGAAATCCGGTTGGCATAACTTCCGGCATTATAGTAACAGGCAAGCGACTTCAGTAAAACAGAGAGACAGGGAATGAATGAAAAGATACAGCTGCAAAATAACCACTTTCATGGAGTTTTCCCTTATTCTAAAAAGCTAATAAGAGTTTCATGTTTTTTTTTAAATTATGGGGCTTCAGAAATGACTTCCTTGGATAGGTAAATGTTTTCTTGCTCCATTGAAGCATTCATTCGTGTATGCTTTGTTTTGTTCATGCTTGTCCCTCCATAGCTAGGATTATCTAGCACCTACTGAATGTAAGTCAAGGAGAGGGCTATGCTTGACCCTGCCCTTATTCTGGAGACAAGCAATTAACCTACCTGTCTGATAACTAAAAGGTTGGTAGTTCAAGTCTGCCCAGAAGGACAGCAAAGGGAAGTCCCAGCTGTCTACTTCTGAACAGCCAGCCACTGAGAACCCAGTGGAGCACAGCTCTACCCTACGCACAGGGCCAGCACGGGGCAGGGCCAACCGATGACTACTGGTTCCCATGTTGTCCTCATTCCTGCTGGTCGAAGAGGAGGCCGTTCCAACTCATGTGGGTGGAGTGGAACTGCGCCGTCAGGTCTTCCAGGCTGTCTACTTTCAGATGCAGGTTCCCAGGCCTTTTGGTTCTGCAGCACCTCCAGGTGGTTCCAGTTGCCATTAGGCCAGCCTAGCACGCTAGACCCCCCAGGAATGTACTGGTCCCTAAGCGCCCCTTTCAAGACAGCCAGGGAGACAGCGGTTGATCATGGAAGAACAGGCACTAGGCAGGGCTGGTTTGAGTGCATGGAAAATGGGTGCTATGGAAATGGGGAGGGACTTGGGCTCCGTGCA